ACCAAAGCAAACTCTTCCTTTGTCCTACCAGCAACTTCTTTTCCCCCAATTGCCAAGGAAAACTTTTAGAGAAAAATAAACCACAAAACCTTTACCATTTGAAACAGCAATGCCAACAGCCATGACTATGGAAATAGGAGAATGAATCAGGCATGGGAGCGAGAAGTGACTTCTTCCCCAGCTGACTGCACAGCCGCTGGCAGGGCTGCAGCGTGAGGCTGGCTCTCCGCCGGGAAGAAGGGGTGCACCGTGACTGCAGCTGAACACCTGACTCACAACGCTCAACGCAAAGGTGAGCATGCAGATGCACATCCAGCAAATGCTGGGTCTCCAACACTAAAAACACTCTCGAGTATCAAAACATGGCAAAGCACTGCCTGCGGATTTCTGCAGCTTTCCCACCACCTGGCCAGCCTTCTGCCCACTCCACCAGCGTCTGCCATCACTGCATGAATGTGCAGGTACTCAGGACTTCTCTGAAGGGACCAGACGCCTCCTTGAAAGCCTGGGTTCTTCACTGAAAGAGTGATGAGGCATTGGATCAGGCTGCCCAGGGCAGTGGTGGAGTCACCATCCCTGGAGGGGTTCAAGAAACGTGTGGATGTGGTGCTTGGGGACATGGGTTAGTGGGTTGGGTGGTGCTGGGTTGACGGTTGGACTTGATGATCCTTGAGGTCTTTTCCAACCTTAATGATTCTATGACCTCCCTGGATATCTAAGTGCTGATGTTAGAAGAAAGCAAAGTCCCCTGCTAGATTTCATGGCATACAGCAGCTAAGAGGCAGGCAGGTCTGCTCTGTGGGCAACTGCACACCTGGGACTGGAGAAAACCGGGAGTGATATGTACTCCAGTCGGCTGCTTTTCTGGGGCTTTCTTCTGGTGGGTCACCAGGGAGACCCGATCCAGCAAACCCGCTAGAAACAGCAACACCCCATCCCGTGGGTGCACGGTTTCGTGTAACGGGATACCCCTCCAGCCCAGACGTGCACGTCCACCCAAGGTCTGACTGCAACACATCACTCCGGTCCTCCCTTACTCGTCGCGTACAACCCAAGCCCCAAATGTTAACGACTCAGCATGTTTTATCACGGTAGCATGTACACTTTCAATCATCGTTAGAGGCGAGGAGGGTCCAGGCTCAGGCACCACGCCAGATTAAGTAAAACTTTCCATGAGGAAAGCTATTTGTTTTCTCCCAGAGCTGTGAGGCTTGGCCAAGAGGGAGGAAGGGAAAAGCTCGCCCAAGCCAGACTGAAGTGTAGACAGTGTTACTGGTCTTTGCAGACTACCTGCGTGTTGTTCTAATGACATCTGGACTACTGGAAATCACTGAGTGCACTCAGAAGTTTTCAAAGGCATAATTGTGGCAGCAGCAGACTAAACTTAATGCCTCGAGAGCCAATCGCTTTAATCATGGAGCTGAGATGTACGAAAAAGGATACATTTCAGCAAAAGAATAATTCTGTCTGCTATGGTTCCTGTTCAAATAAACTATATCACCAAACCACGCGCATTTGAAGAATATAGAGGAGTGAAAAAAAAGAACATATGGTTTAGAGGCAAAAAACTTTCATATATACTGTATAGGAGATATATGGACTTGTCAGACATCTAACAGTTCAACACTGTAAGCAATTCATGGGAATGACATTAGCAATAGCTCATATTACATCCAGGAGTTACAGCTTTTACTGCAAAAGTTATTTTTAAAAGAGCCATGTTTAAAATGAAATGGCTGGCAGGGCTGCAGCTTTCAGTAACACTTTACCTGTGGTTTTGCCACTTTTACATACTTATTGGGGGCTTAATGCTCCCAATTTACCTTTTCAGAGTCAAATAAAAGTCGCAATGACTGCATTCATTGGCACAGCGCTATAAAACTCACAGCTGTGCAAAGACAATCACAAGAACAAAAGCCTCCTTGTTTTAAAAAAGATGATGATGTGGTTCTGATACTTTCTGTTAGCCACATATCTAAACATCAGATACCTTCCCTTATGGCCTAGGTATTTTCATCTTACTACACAAAGATGTATAGATCCGACCAGGTCAGGTTCAGGATGGAGACCTTTATGAAAGCGTCTGTGTGGAGAGAAGGAGGCTGAATTAATATACAAAACTTCAGACAAGAGATCTGTCTTTCAGATATTGTTATTCCAGTTCTGGCTCCTACACAGGACTCGGGGTGTTCTGGAAAACAGTTTTTTCGACGGCGGGTGGAACCGTGGCCCCACTGCCAGCAATGGGAGCATGCTGCTGATTTCAACGTGGCTGGGATTGCAACTCAAAACGTTGAGATTAGAACCCAGGAAAAGCCTGAAGAAGCCAAGATCTTCTTCAGCTTCAGGACTCAAGCACACCTTGATTAAAGAATCCTCCAGGATGCTGCTTTGCTTTCAATTAAAAACAGCTTTTGTAAAGTTCTGTGCATTAATATAACAAATGGGATCACAGCACGTACAGTACACCTTGAAATCTGCTGAGAACATAAATAATGCATTTTTTCTTCTTGGTACCAATGTGTTTCCCCCTTGCTTTTTCAAAATAACTTCATTTTAATCTGTAATGAAAACTGCTTTCTTTGATGTTTCTAACGGCAGGAAATAATTTCACAACTGATTGTCATTCTGCTGCAGGTAAAAAAATGTAATAGCTTGTGGGAGTGCCAGTTAAAACCTGAAAAATGTTTCTTGGCATTAACACGCCTAATTAAACTCTCTCCATCCTGGTGAAATAAAATATTTGGAGCTCAGTTCTGTGTTCCACCCAGGCTACACTAGGTCCAGGAAACGGAAATGGGGATAAGGAAGGTGATTTCAAGTCACCTTTAGCATCTCCTGTTGTGAGCCTGGCCAGTTCCCAGCTGCCTGAACATCCTGAAAGCTGTGTGAACTTATACTCCGCCACCTCTGGCTTAGGGTTTCTTCAACCACCAAGAAAAGCAGTTAAAATTGGGAAAAAATTACCTGAGCTGCCCTGGTAAAGAGAAGAGAAGCAGGATTAGTTCCAGAGCAGGCTAGCACAGCTTTCGACCCAAGTCCTAGACAGAGGGTCGGAGAGAGGAGCACGTTTAAAAGTGAGATCTAAATCAGGCAAACTTCCACATCCCCTTGAGAGAACGACTGGCTCAATGGACCAGAAGAGTTCTCAGCAGCTTGTAGGTTCCCCAGACTGGCCATCTCTTCGGGCAAGGCTAATTCCACCTCACACCCCAAGGGCTGTACAGCACATCATGACTCATCGATCCCCGGATAAAATGTTTTCTCTGAAAAGCAATTACTCCCTGGACACTTGCTGAAGAGGTCCCTCAAACCTGCCTGCCTCAGGATTTTCCATGAGCTCCGCCACCCTCGTGCTCCACGCTACTCCTCGGGTAGATCTGAAAGGAGAATGTCACATAACCGCCGCTGTCCAGGGCAGGGGTGGCACATGCACCCAGAGCCAGCACCAGCCCTGGCGTGTTCTGCCAGCGTGCCCCCGTGCCCTGCAGGCTCCTGCAAGAGCTTCTGGCCTTTGCCAGAAGAGGGGCTCAGGAGACACCCCCTCACAAAAAAAAAAAAAAAAAAAAAAAAGTCTGTTTATACCCTGCCCAAGATTGCTATATGTATATTAGATGCATAACTCAAACCTCCCCAAAGTGGTAAACAAGCAACCAAAATTTTACCAGCCATAATATGGCATAACCAGTTAGATATTTTACTTGTCTGGTAGTCCCATAAGTATGTGAGATGTCTGCAAAGGGCCATGGGCTCCTGCAAAGGACCAAACCTAGGCACAAATGTCACATTTCAACCGCTTTTAATCAAATCTTGCTGTGAAAGCAGCAAAGTGAGTCAGCCATAATCTTTGTTATGAGGTTTAACTCAGAATCATTTGGACTGAGTGCTGGTACACACGCCAGATACCTTTCAGTACCAAAAGCACAGCCATAATATATCAGGTATCACTTTACAGAGGGAGTTTTAAATACGTTCTACATGTTGAATCATCTATTCACATACTGAAATGGACAGCATGTTTAATGAATAGCCCAGGTGGCTACTGTAGATTTTGATTTAAAACCAGATTGCCAAGACCAAAACTTATTTGCCAAAATGGAAGTCTCTCTGGGTGCTCCCTTTATATCACTTCAGCTGCCCACCATTACTGAAGCAGAAAAATGTCATCTACAGGATATATAGTTATACAAACTTACTGACTAGTTTTTTCCATCTATACTCTGCAGTATAGATGGTCTATATTTGGAGATACTCCAGACCAAAAGGAATTAATATTGTTTTGATCCCATAAGCTGAAACAAAAAAAAAAAAGTCTGTGTATACCTGGTCCAAGATTGCTATACGTATATTAGATACATAAATCAAATCTCCCCAAAGTGGTAAACAAGTAACCAAAATTTTACCAGATATAATCTGGCATAACCAGTTAGATATTTTATCTGTCTGGTAGTCCCAGTGAGACGTCTATACCACATGCTTCCTAAGCACCTTCAGGTAAAACTGGAGGTATTAAATACCTATAAGACACCATGAAGATACACTTTTTTAATGGCTTGAGAATTTAATTTTTAATGTCATTAAAGTATTTCATTACTTTTCAATTTCTTTAGGAATGAGGGGAAGAGTTGGTATACTTAGACTGGCAGGCAAGGAAAGCAGTCAAGTACATCTGATGTCCCTCTGTCTTTCCTGTTGTTCACAGGTGCAAAGATTGAAAAAGTACAAAAAAAAGTTTAAATCATGCTGTATGAAGGGATCTGAACTGAATCAGTGAGACAACAAATTATAAAGAGGTAGAGTAGCAATCTATTTAAAAGAAAAGTGTAACTGTCCTTACTCATGGGTCTGATTTGATATTCTGGGTTTCAGAATACTGAAATGTCACAAAATGTCATAAAGCACAGACATCCCACCCACTCCTCCAACAAGGAAAACACTTAAAGATGGACACGATACCAACAAGAAACAATGGTGATGGCTTAAAAGTTCCCATTCCAAAAAAATCAAGCACATGACAAATGAGTTGCTCCTATTCCGTATGAGCCACTCTGCAAAACCCATTTTCTCCTTTACTCCACAGTTATGGCCAGAGGTCTGAACGAAACGGCACCAGGCACAAAGGCACTGCATATGTGGAGTGCTTTGCCTTGCAGTGAACAGCACCTATCGGGAACACCAGGAGCAATTACTGGCGGTTTCCAGGTAGTCACCGTAGCGGCCAAACTGCCCTTTGAGACTGCAGGAGGCAGCCCAGATGGCATCCTTCTAGGTGACGATGAGGAGGGGATTTTTCACTACGACAGGATGAGCAGATTTGATAGTTGCTGGGGAGGATAACATGACACCAGATGTGGCTTTAAGTCACACTTACTCTAGCTGCTGCCACCCAGAGCAGTCCTGCTGCACTCCTTGACCCCCAGCAACAGGCTTCCTGCCCCTCTCGTGGGCTGGACCCAGCCATTGGACCTGGGGGATGTGGTTCCATGGGGTGACCCACTGGAAAACTACATGGGCTTGGCTATTTTTGGCAGGTCAATTTTCCGTTAGCTCGCTCTGCCACTCCATTATCAATGGATATGACTCAAAGGAAACAGCAAGAACATGTGGCTAAGGGCAAGATGGATGGAGGCCACCCTTCCCTTGGGAGCCTGCAGTTAGATCAGGTTGAGTGCAATGCTGCCTCCATGGAAGGCGTATAGCATAGACCTGAACGGGCTTCCAGGCTGGCTCACGACTTTGTGCTCCTGTGCTGTGTGTCTGAGACACGCCAGGGCTCTGCATGGTTTGAACAGAGGGTCTTGGCCAACACAACTCCCACAAGACATGCTTCCTGCCTTTAGCCCCTCTGCTGCATACTTTATCTCCTGGCTCCCCAAATACTGAAACAAATAAGAAGACAGTAGTAGTCCACTCCTGATTTCTACAAGGGCTTCATTTTGCCAACACAAAACACAGAGTGTATGACCTTTTTTTTCAGCCAGTGAGATAAGGCACAGAGAGGAAAGGGCAGCTCACGTGGGTTACGCTCCATCAGTATGACCCCTGAGACAACCCTAAGAATCAGTGTGGACTTCCTCTGGTTACCATTTCTGATTGCCACCCTTAGAGGGAACTGGTGGTGTTTACTTTTTCAGAACTACGTAAGTTAATTTTTTTACATTATATATTGTTACTATGACTGTTATGCCTATGAATTCTTTCTTGGTCTATAGTTCTTGTGGTCAGCTACAGAACGATTCTGAGAGCCTGCTGGATGCCAAAGGGAAGTATATCTGAATTTGGCTAGCTGAGGAGATCTTCAAAGTCAACTTTTAGTATCAGTGCAGATGTATACGGTAGCTTCTAGAATTACTTCTCATTCTCTGTCAGAGGACTGGTGTCTGTGTGTGTCCGGAGGAGGGGATGGAAAGGAGATGGGGTTAAAGACTAAACCACTCATGCTTTGTCACAGAGAATGAAAATTGCTGAAAAAACTAAAATCTCCCTCTCAGTCCATGTGGTAGCAAAGCTCCTCTGTTCCTCCAGGAGAAACCTGAAGTAGACATGGCTAAGGAGCTTCACCCTTCACCCCTGAGCCACAGTCCCACCTCTCCAGCAGAGACCAGCCAAAGGCAGCTCTCACAGTACTGTCAGAGCAGTGGCTGCTGGAGTTTGGAGAGGTAAGGCAGAAACAGTGCGCATTTCTTGTGCCTTTCTAGAAAGACAGCTATAGATTAGGTTCAGATTTTATCTGTATTCTTCTCCTTCCCTAGATAACTTCTGGTTTCTCTCAAAACCAAAATTTGGGCATGGCTTTTTGTTTCATTTTTGTGTGCATTTCATGTTTGGTTTGTTGAAATCTTGCTCCTTACAGCATAGATAAGTGGTACAAATGCACGCTATATGAAGAAAACCTTGTCACAAAAGATGTGTTGTGCAAAACTTCAGTGAACTGAAGTGAACTTCCTAATTAGGAAAATTTCCTTAGACCTGTCGATCATGTAACCAATAATAACTTCTGTTAAGGAAAACCATTTTCCTGGAGTTGAAAATCAAAAGGCTGCTACTCAAACTCCAAAACATTCATTTGTAATCCTAATTCAGGGAGTATCATGCTGTTTAAAATAGAATGACTAAATGTCCTTTTCTTAAAAACAGTGCAATGAATTGTCTTTAAATTCTCCCTGAAAGACAATCACATTCAGACATTCCTTGGCACCAATTACTTTCAATGCAGACATTTCAAAGGCATTTCTTCTTCAAATAACATGGTATGTTATATAAAGTTATGCAGCTATTGGAAGGGAACTCACATACTGCATTAAGGTAGGGTCCAGAATTCTACTGGGATACTTAGCAGCAAGTGCTAAATCACAGTTCAGTGGGGTCACATAATCAAATTCCAGATTACCCCTTTTATTATGTTCAACTAATAAATCTTTGGAAACTGGAGTCTGACAAGTTCATCACAGCATTTTAACTTTTCAATGGTGTGTATAGAATACATATACATACAGAATCTTACAAAAAAAAAAAAAAAAAAAAAAAGCGCAGCAGCAAGTCCACAATAAGAATGGAAAAAAATGTAGTCTTAATGTTAGATACCATTAGACTGACAAGTTACGTGGAAAGATGTGCCTCCATTTTTAATTTGAACCTTCTCAACTGAAGTGGAGCAGTTTATAATTTAGTTCCAGTGAACAGATTTGCACATCAGACGTTTCACTGCATTATGGACGGACAATGTTAAATATGTTTTCACTGCAGTTCCATAGGTCACTGGCATGGGTATAAGCCAAGACCATACGGTTAAGATTATTGCAACATAACTATCAGTCATGCAGCTAGCTCTACGGTAACCAATAGCATTTAATGCTTAGATAACATGGTTTCATTATCACAAACAAAATTAAAGAGCCCTTTCCCATATAGAGACAATCCAAGCAAAAGTCTGCACCATTCCACCAGGCTGTTAATTGAACTTTCTTCCACCAGGATTCAAAAGGAGGAGGGGGTTAAGGGAACTCACTGATAGAGCAACATGGTTGAAGGCAAACCTATGCTGTGGAAGACTTACCATCATCCAGGTACATCTGGTCCAATTCCTCAGGTTCTCGCTTGATCGTTACAGGAATAGGGGCCAAATTATGATTACTTTCCTCATGCAACTCTGGCAATGACAGTGGTTGGGTTGTTGGAGACTCATTTCTGTGAACCTTCGGCAGTTGCTGCTGCTGTTGACCCATTATGGATGAGTGAGTTGGACTGCAGGACTGCAAATAGGTTGGCTCTTGGGTAACAGATGGAACTGGAGAAGAGGGACTGTTGGGATAGAGTGTTTGTTGATAACCAAGGGGACAGCTACTGCTCAGATGTTGACTCACCTGCGGCTGCAGCATGATGTGAGATGATTGCTCGGGGGAGCTTGGGTGCACAACTATAGACCTTGGCACTTCCTGTATGGTGGGGACACCTCCAGCGGGCTGCGGAAGTCCGAGGTGACTGTGGCCCGGGTTGGGGATGCACTTGTAAGGAGAGGACGAAAGGTCGTGCAGCTTGGGGCTTGCATTGGGAGAGGGTGACATCACGGCGTTTCTCTGCTGACAGGAGGCAAAGCCAGCCACCAGGCACGAACCAGGATCAGGGGGCATCATGATCTGCTGGCCGTAGTATGGTTTAGAGAGAGGGCTTAAGCCTTGGTTCATTGGTCCACAGGTCTGAGCAGGCTCATAGTCATCTGTGGGTTCTGTTTTTATAATTGGAACTGTTAAAAGAAAAAAGTTTTAAATAAACATGAGTTGCGTATTGGTATGATCAAGTTGGCTTGTGGCTAGGATACCCTTTGCAAAACAAACAACGTCTTGAATAAGACTCTGTGTGTCTTTTGCCTAGTTCTCCCACCCTATAAAAAAAAAAATGAATGAGTCATCAGCACAAGAAAGTCGCAGCTGGTTCTAATATTGAAAAGGACTATTTTCTTTGGACTCTCCTCCAGCACTAATGTGCTATAAAAATCTATTTGCAAATAGCTGTGCTTCAGTGGAAGCTTTGGACCCAAGGGCTCCATGGATTTGTAGTAATCAAAGCAAGAATTTTAACTTGGATATACTACTGCATTTCTATGGCTACTGATGGCCCATTTGATAAATGTCTGCACATTCAGTAAACTGGAACATAATAAGGTAGAGATGAGGCTTTCAGCATTCAGTGAAAGTAAAATTGAAAAGATGTATGACAAACTACGTACAAGAAGTTTTCAATTACGAGGGTATTTTTGAAAGAGTAGGATTTGATTTATTCAGTTTTTACATGATTGTGTTTAATCTTACTAACCAGCCAATGGGTGTAAAATATGCAAGAAGCTGCATCCAGCTCTCAGTGACCCTTAGTCAGATACAAACTGCTAATGCCAGCTCCTAGCAAATGTTAACTCCCTCTCTGGCTACTAAGAAAAACGGACTCCTGTTCTAGACCTCTGCTTGCCTTACCCATTGTCCCAAAAGAGGCTCCAATTGAGCTGTCAAGCCATGTCTCTAAATACCACCAGCACATGGATGATGGTCTATGAACATCAACCCAGTCATGACAAACCTAGAGCTGCTTTCTCAAATCACAGAAGAGATCCTTCCTCAAATCAAAGTGTCTTCACATGGGCTTTCTCTCTCAAATCAGAAAGAGGTGCCTTTGCTGGTTCTCCTACAACATATGCAGTGCACAGCTAAAAGACACCCCCTTTCTCTATCAGGAAAACTATAAATAATAGGGCCAAGCTAGTCTGTAGTTGTATTTTTTCTAGCCAGATGCAACTCTATCCCATACAACAACTGAGTATGGATGCACAGCGGTTTTCCCTAAAAGAGATCCACATGAACAGTTGTCACTTGAAGGTGCTGTTGGAAACTTACGATGACACCAGAGAATATCTTTCAGAATATCAGAATAACCAACCTGTTGTGGCACAAAGTTATTAACGAAACATCTTTGCACAACTCAGCTCAGAGCACATGTGTGCTGTGTGTCTCTGACTGTATTTTTATTTGCATGTGTTTTACAAACACCCTTATACATTCTCCAGCCATTACTATGTCCGCATATGAGTCTTTTGAATCCCTCAAAACGCACGTGTACATATAAAACCTCTTTTTAACACTCACAAATTCTCCTGCTGGTGAATGCACTTCACTACCCTTGTTTTACAGTCCCCTAGCCTCTTGTTAACTTTGCTTCTTTTATGTTCTTTTGCATATAGATGCTCGCAACATTTGTTTCAAGATTTCTAGCACCCCTAGTAAAAACACGTCTATATATGTAACAGATGCACAGGTGCTGCTCAAGATGAATGTGCTAAGGATAACAGACCGCCATTGGATTCCTCATAATCTTATTTTCACCTGCTCATGCGCTGCACACTGGCTAGCAGGGCTACTAAAGCATTTGGTTGCAGAGAAGCAGATTCCAGGTTCGGTGACAGCTTTATAAAACCAGTATCACACCCTTTATGAAAACGCAAGACCAAAGAAACGCACCTAGATAAACATAGGAGCTCAGATATTGTAAGAAAATACCTTTAACAAGTTCCTGAGCTAGCAAATATTCTCACATGTTTTATATTACGTTCACGATACTAGCACTAAGCGCTGCACAGATGGAAATATGATGGTTGTTGAACACTGAATTTTCCCAATATATCACTGTTATAGAAACACCTGTGCTAAATAATTCCAACCTCAACCACTGGCAATTTGACTCCAATAAACCCCTGGAGTTGTCTGACTTGTTATAAGCTAAGGAAGGGTTATAGCCCTGGTGGCGGGCACACTGGAGGCTTGAAAGATGGCAGGTTCCTGACCTCAGGCTGATTTTTCATTGTAGCTCTTCTACAGCACATCTTTGCGGCTTGGTTTACCAGGCACTTCTTTGTCACTCCACTTTGAATTTTTTCTTTATAAAAGCAATGCCATTTGGAGGTCTGATTAGTGGCCATAATCTGTTTTGGGAACCTGTTTTCATATGCTGCAACACTGAAATACACCTGCCGCAAACCAACAGGCGATAACCAGTAAGCCCTACTCTGCACTGGGTGAAGGACTGGTGGGTGGGAGGGACTCTATTCCAGACGTGTTAGGCCAAAAACTCTCTTGGAGATGGTGACAGCAACCAAGGACACTCCTGGATGCCCATAAATTCATTGTTCAGAGGGAAAACGGAGACTGGTGTTGTTTATAGGAGCAGTCAGGGTAAGTCACAGCAGCTCGCTTGCTGATGGCAGGCTGGCAGCCGCAGAGGGAAACAAGGAGAAGGGATATGAGATGAAGTGGGACCTCCACATTATTTGATATCTGTTTACACTGTCCCCCTGAATTACTCTGACCTGACAGTTCTGAGCATCAGTTATTTCATGTAATGGGAAATAAATGGTCTTTAAATGGACAGATACTACCTGAACTTAGGCTTGATGTGTCCGAACGTGTTCAACTGAATTGTCTCCACTACCTTTTTTAATGTGCTTTTTCAACACAGTAAAAAAGTCTCCCCTTGCTAAACATCATATAATTTGTTTGTATGCTAATCCCATAGCTAGAATAGATATCACACTGAAAGACAGAAAAAATATTAATGCTGAAATGGTGAAGGGATTTGTATCTGATTTCCCAGTGCTTTGCCAATTGTATAGCCACCTAACACTGCGCAGAGCCAGCAGACGGAGCGTATACCAGGCTGGGGTGGCAGCCACTCACTCCGCTTTAAAGAAGTGTAAACGTCTTCACAGGGTACCAGTTTGGAGAAGGAAGCTCTGTGGGATTTTTTTTTTTCCCTGGAGAAACCATTACTAACGACCCAGATGATCTGGAATCAGACTTGCAAAGCTGAGCATGTCAGCAGAGACATAAGACATTAACACTTCCCTTTCTGGCTAGACCTCAACTTTTGTATTTTACATGTATACCTGTATTACTTGACTTGTGGAGGCCAGCTATATGGCAAATTGCTACATTACACCAGTTAACAGTTTATTTGTGACACTGTCCTGCATCTGTTTCTCCCCAGCCTATGTAACTTCACCAAATGGAGTATCAAAGGCCAAAACTCTGCCAGTGTTGGCATTTCCAAACTCAACTCAAATGAGCTGTGGGTCTGACCTCCTGGTGGTTCTGGAAATACTTCGAATGCGTCAAAAGTTGGTGTAAATCACCTTATATTCTTTCTTTAAAAGGGCAACCATTCACTTCCACTTTGCAAAGGGCTGCAGAGGGCCCAAGGCAGGAGCTGGGGCTATTTCACGCACACCTTCCAAAACCAGCGCAGGAACAGCCTGGACCTGTGCTCGCTGCCTACTCACCTGCATCACAGTGTCTACAGCACTACTCAAACAAGTTAAAAGACTTGCCCGTAATAAGGCTACCTGTTCCTAACATCCCCTACCCACTGTCTCACTGCCCTTTGGGGGGGCTGAGACCCTCGGCTGGGGCGAGCAGCTGCAGCTGGCTCAGAGCAGCTGAAGACACAAACTTTCCATGCCCACCTTCACCCTCTTCTCCCAGTGGGCTCCTCCAGAGCAGCAGGGCTGATCACCAGCCAGCTGGGGACTAGTTTCACTGCTTACCTATTGACACTCATTCGATTAACTGCAAATCTTTACAGGCTCGAGCTAGAAAAAGCGGTTTCATACTCAAACGCATCCCCTGTGGAGGCATGGCAAGGTAGCTGCCGTAACACACACCCATTCCCACCATCACTCGAATATTTCACACAGGGAGATGTGTCGTGATAGAGTACAGTCAATTTTCTCCAGATTAATATTTAACAGAGAACAGTATTAGCCTGACTCACTTTTATCTCAAATATTTCAAACCTTAGATGACTTGGTAAGAAGCTCCCAGCTGAAAGACACACCATCAGTCACACAGCAGGCCTGGACCAGCAAGTAACTGGAAAGCCCTACAGCTGCTCAGAACCTGCAAGCACTTTTAGCAGAAACCAGCCTATTTCTTCAATTCAGCACAGCCACATCAAATGGCAACAAGCATTCTGCCTCAAAGCTGCTCCATGGTGCTGAGATAACACTCAGTCCTGCAGACCCTCAGCTGGTTAGAATGAAAAACCGTGGCTGAAATTTGCTGTACACTGAGATTTGCCAATAATAAAGTGTAGCAATGAAGCCAGAATTTGTGAAATTGTGAACAGAAAAGATAATGCAGTATTTACTCAGCCTCGTACGTTACGTTACTCATTTAAGAGACCCTACTTTGACGAAGGATCGGGCCCTTGCCATAAAAAGAAAAATATGAATGCAAGTTTGGTTCGTACGGTGAATTTTAAACGTTTATTACTTCACAATGCATTAGCTTCTTTAAAATATGGGTATTGTGTTTTGAGCAACCTGGGCTAGTGGGAGGTGTCCCTGCCCATGGCAGGGGGGTTGGAACTGGATGATCTTTAAGGTCCCTCCCAACCCAAACCATTCTGTGATGCTATGATACTACCAGGTTGGGCGACAGAAGTTTAAATAGTCCTCAATTTTGAATATTAAAATATGACAGAGCTCACAGTTCTAAATTAGTCTGATAAGCAACTTAATCTGTGCTAACTGGTTTTCAGTGGTTCGATGATGCCTTCTTAGACTCTGGACTCATGTCATTATGTCATCTAATTTAATATTAAGTTCTGAGAACCACGCGTTGGCAGCAGCCCTGGCTATAAATCAAAGCTTCTTACTCAGAGAGACCAGGGTTATGACATCATACTGAGGCACCGGATGAAAGA